CCGCGCCGATCTCGTCACCGGCACCACCGTGGTGAGCCTCTTGTTCTTATCTTCTTTATGATACTTGTCTGATTTTCTTACTTTAGATAGATATTTGTCTGATTTTCTTAAATTTGACACACATAATTATATGTGATGCACACAGATGAACCGGCAATGGATGTATGGTGACGGACACACCTCGGAGTACATTAAGGGCGTGCATATTTTTCTCGAAGTGGCTGAGGCAAACAAGCAGAATGGTTTTATGTGTTGTCCATGCAGTAAATGTGGGAATACGAAGTCTTACTCTGACCGGAAAATCCTTCACACCCACCTGCTTTACAAGGGTTTCATGCTACCTTCCGGGGGACATAGGTTGGTGAGGAGGCAGCCCGTTGTTGACCCGATCCTTGTTTGGTGGCGGTCGCATGGGCCAGTGACGGCTCCGAGGATTCCGGACACCGCGAAGGTGGTACGTCACCGTGTCAGCGAGGAGGACGAGCACGTCCCTCGCTACATGGTTGCATTGGAGGGCAGGTTCGACAATACCTGGCAGGTTCTTCATGTTGGAAATATGCCCTAGAGGCAATAATAAATTAGTTATTATTATTATATTTCCTTGTTCATGATAATCATTTATTATCCATGCTATAATTGTATTGATAGGAAACTCAGATACATGTGTGGGTACATAGACAACACCATGTCGCTAGTAAGCCTCTGATTGACTAGCTCGTTGATCAATAGATGGTTACGGTTTCCTGACCATGGACATTGGATGTCGTTGACAACGGGATCACATCATTAGGAGAATGATGTGATGGACAAGACCCAATCCTAAGCCTAGCACAAAGATCGTAGTTCGTATGCTCAAGCTTTTCTAATGTCAAGTATCATTTCCTTAGACCATGAGATTGTGCAACTCCCGGATACCGTAGGAATGCTTTGGGTGCACCAAACGTCACAACGTAACTGGGTGGCTATAAAGGTGCACTACAGGTATCTCCAAAAGTGTCTGTTGGGTTGGCACAAATCGAGACTGGGATTTGTCACTCCGGTTGACGGAGAGGTATCTCTGGGCCCACTCGATAGGACATCATCATAATGTGCACAATGTGACCAAGGGGTTGATCACGGGATGATGTGTTACGGAGCGAGTAAAGAGACTTGACGGTAATGAGATTGAACAAGGTATCGGCATACCGACGATCGAATCTCGGGCAAGTACAATACCGCTAGACAAAGGGAATTGTATACGGGATCGATTGAGTCCTCGACATCGTGGTTCTTCCGATGAGATCATCGTGGAACATGTGGGAGCCAATATGGGTATCCAGATCCCGCTGTTGGTTATTGACCGAAGAACGTCTCGGTCATGTCTGCATGGTTCCCGAACCCGTAGGGTCTACACACTTAAGGTTCGATGACGCTAGGGTTATAAAGGAAGTTTGTATTTGGTTACCGAATGTTGTTCGGAGTCCCGGATGAGATCCCGGATGTCACGAGGAGTTCCAGAATGGTCCGGAGGTAAAGATTTATATATGGGAAGTCCTGTTTTGGTCACCGGAAAAGTTTCTGGTTTTATCGGTAACTTACCGGGACCACCGGGAGGGTCCCGGGGGTCCACCAAGTGGGGCCACCATCCCCGGAGGGCTGCATGGGCCAAGTGTGGGAGGGGACCAGCCCCAGGTGGGCTGGTGCACCCCCTCCCCCCACAAGGGCCCAAGGCGCCTAGGGTATGGGGAGGGGATGCTTCCACCTTACTTGGGGGGCAAGTTTCCCCCTCCCCCCCCCCTTGGCCGCACCCTAGATGGGTTTTGGGCTGGCCCCGCCCCTAGGGGTGGAACCCTAGGTGGGGGCGCAGCCCCCCTCTCCCCCTATATATAGTGGAGGCATAGGAGCAGCACAATACACGAAGTTCTTCTCCTGTTGGCGCAGCCCTACGTCTCTTTCTCCTCATATGTCGCGGTGCTTGGCGAAGCCCTGCAGGATTGCCACGCTCCTCCACCACCACTATGCCGTTGTGCTGCTGCTGGACGGAGTCTTCCTCAACCTCTCCCTCTCTCCTTGCTGGATCAAGGCATGGGAGATGTCACCGGGCTATACGTGTGTTGAACGCGGAGGTGCCGTCCATTCGGCACTAGGATCTCCGGTGATTTGGACCACGACGAGTACGACTTCTTCAACCCCGTTCTCTTGAACGCTTCTTCTTAGCGATCTACAAGGGTATGTAGATGCACTCTCCTTCCCCTCGTTGCTGGTTTCTCCATAGATAGATCTTGGTGACACGTAGGAAATTTTTTGAATTTCTGCTACGTTCCCCAACACTTCAGGGATCTCACTGGAGCTATGATCCTGTGATGGTTCCTTATCTTTGGGTGTCCACCGCCCGCGACGATACCCGTTGGGCGCTATGGTTGTAGCTGTATTAGTGATGCTATATGTATTATAGTATTCGAGGAGTATTAGTGATAATATTCGATGATGTACGGACACAAGAGATGATGTACTTTTGCTTATAATTGAATGCATGCTAATTTGAATAATACTTTATTTTATGATTTGGTTTTGCTTATTGAATGCTCATATTGGAAAAGTACTCCTAATTTGAATGCTAAAATTGGAGAGCACTATGCCGAAATTTAGGAGCCCCCTCCATCATCCACGCCGTCATGGGGGTAGCTTCTCCTTCATTCCCGTGTGCTAGACAATTTGCTGTAATAATGCACTCGGGAATGAAAGAAGGAGCTACGTACCATCACCGATAGTCAACCCATGATTAATAATAATGATCTAATTTAGGTTTTTTAGTACATATATATTTAATTATACAAGTTTAATATTCGAATTATGAACATAGGCCGGAAATATCGTACTAAACGACGAAAACCGCCCGGGGGAGTGCGACTGGTGCCATGATGACCGAGGTATGTGCGACAGGTTCATTGAGCTGGACGAAGATCGGCGCTTCAGCATTAAGCTCGAGGAGACCTTCGATGTTCATACGGTACGCAACGACGACAATAGTTTTTTTCGTAATTAAGAACGACTTCAACTATTTTAATGTGTATTTTTTATCTTTTCCAATTCGACTAGCTTATCCCATGCTATGCGAGACGCTATGTCTTGAAGAGGATGAATTTTGAAGACCATGAAAGTATGGAAACCAAAAAAATTCTCCTAAGGACCCATCATGGTGTGGATTTTAAAGTAAAGTTGTACAATGCTTAGAGTGTAACCCATTTTGGTTGCAAAAATTGGGAAGCACTTTGCAAGATGTATGGTTTTTATGAGGGTATGCTTGTAACCATGGATCTTGGTGATCCTACAATCGAGCAAGACAATATGGACATTTGGGTCCTTGTGGATACACCTCCAATTCTTCCCCCATGTGAGCTTAACATAGTTATTAAGTAATTTATATTGTTTATTTCAAAATAGTTGACAGCTTATTTTTATTCTTCAAAGAATGTGCGGAAGATGGTAGACAAAACCCACTACACCGATGGCTCCGAATTAACTTATAAGGAGAAAAATCATCTGATAGGATTTTGTACTGATCTTGAGAATTACAATGTCTACAATCGAACTCCTCAACATTATGGTCAATACGTGCCACCAGTGCACGTGTTGAACTACGGTAACTACCACGGAGATACCCTGGTAAGATTTTTTACTATTACGACACCCGTGCATCTTTTTGCATACTTCTAAAACTAGTACATCATTGCTAACTACGAAGTTATTACTATGTTTTTCAACAGATAATTCCGAATGATTGTGTGCCTCATCTGATGTATACGCACGGCCGCCTTGATGTTTTGAACATACAACCAGGTCGTCCTACGAATCTCAACTGTCCATACTGGATTTCTAAAAGAAGTGGAGACATGACAATCAAAGTATGGAAAAAATGTATGGACAGTCGTAAGGAGCTTCTTGGAAGCAAAAGGAAGCGAAGTGCAAGAATTGAAGACAGGATGATCTCCATTCTTCATAACGGAGAGTCGGGGTCTATATTGTTTTATGCTATTTTACCTTAAGGGTGTTTAGGTCCTACCTGACACTGATGATCATGTGCTAAGAACAATTATGTAGGGTTGGGTTCAATGACTATGAGGATGATGATCGTATGACTTATTATTAATAACGAGTAGAAGTTGTATGATGATGCATGATTAGTAGGACTTGTTATTATATATGATGATGTATGATGCGAGCATGCATGCGTTATTATATATCAGCGGGTGAAATGAACATAGCAGTAGTGTTGGTAAACCAAGGACGAAGATATAAAAGAGGACACTTATTAGCTAGCTAATAACAATCTAAAATTAACCCCCAAAACCCCTAAACGAGCCATTTAAAAAACAACCTCAGCTCCAGCCAGCTGCTGACGTGTGGAAGGCTTTTGGTCCCGGTTTATGTCACCAACCGGGACCAAAGGCCCCCCTGCCTGGGCTGCCCGCAGCGGCCACGTGGATGCCCATCTGTCCCGGTTCGTGTAAGAACCGGGACTAAAGGGGGGATGCATTAGTAACGACCTATTAGTCCCGGTTCAAGAACCGGGACTAAAGGCCCTTACGAACCGGGACAAATGCCCTGTTTTCTACTAGTGCGTCAAGTTCTTGCAATCAGCCTAGATTACAATTGCACTTTGTCCTCAAAAATTGGATCCAGGACATAATTGCACTGCACTTGTAGTAGATAGGTAGACAAATTTGGTGTGGGCTATATAGGCTGCTAGAGCTAGATTACAATATAAATAGGAGTTTATATGAGCGCGCATATGTGTGCTCTGCTCTGCTTGCTGTCAAGTGTCTCTGTGCTCACCTCCCATTTCAGTGTTGTACCAGTGCACCTAGCAGGCATTATACATCTCTAGATTTCTAGCTATCTATAAAGATCTCCACCTTCTTGTTTGGTCGCTCAGTGGACCAGCTAGCGCTATTGTCCACCACACATGCTCGGTGGAAGTAAGTTGGAAAGGTTGTGTTCTTGATCTCAGTTCACAAGAGATGCTAGCAATGGACCAGCATCATCAGGAGGAGTCGTGGTGTCCCCCTGGGTTTATGTTCCATCCCACAGAGGAGGAGCTGGTGGGCTACTATCTGGCCAGGAAGGTGGCCGCCCAGAAGATCAACCTCGACATCATCCAGGAGGTCGATCTCTACTGGATCGAGCCATGCGGCCTGCAAGGCACGAAGAAATTCATCTGAATTTTGGTAGTTTATCTTGTACATACATGGTGTTTTATTCTATTCAAGTTATTAATTAACAAGAACAATGGTGTTTCTGCAATTGTCCATGGTGCAGAGAGGTGCAGCGGCGGCAGGCGTGGAGCCGGAGCACGGCCGGGTCAGGAGGACCAGTCATCGTCGGAGTGGTACTTCTTCAGCTTCAAGGACTGCAAGTACCCCAGTGGAACACGCACCAACCGCGCCACGCCGATAGGGTTCTGGAAGGCCACCAGCAGGGACAAGCCGGTTACGTCGTCGCGTAGCCGGGGTGTCATCGGCATGAGGAAGACGCTCGTATTCTACAGGGGCCGCACACCCAGCGCACCCAACGGTAGAAAGACCAACTGGATCATCCACGAGTACCGCACCCGGACAAGCGAGCACGCGCCCACACAGGTATGCAATTCTTCAGATCCTCTTCATCCTCCTCCTTCTCTACCGCTTCTTTTCTTTCTTCTTCCATTTCTTCTTGAGATGATGATGATCATTGTGATGATGAAGGAGGAATGTTGGGTGGTGTGCCGGCCGTTCCAGAAGCTGGCGCCGAACCAGACGCATTCTTACATCTTCCCGGCGTACACTGCCGCGCCGGGCCTCGGGGGCTAGTACGACGCGCGGCCATGGCTGCACGACCAAGGCGGGGGCCTCGGCTTCCCCAGCCAGGTTGCCCAGTTCTCCTCCTATGACCCGCTGGATAGCAAGCAAAGCATCTTCAGCAACATGCGGCAGCTCATCGAGAGCCCGCAACGACCACCGCCGTTGCTGGTTGTGGCGAAGCCGGCTTTGACGTCGTCCAGCAGGGACAGGCGGCAACCGGCGTCGACTGGAATTTCCTGGACAGCTTGCTGTCAACGTCATTGCTCCACGACTCCGCACCTAGTGCCGCATCACACCTTCAGCTTCCCTCGTGAGGAGGAAGCAGAGGCCCTTGGTCTTCCACGTCCACCAGAAGTAAATCACCGCAAGTTGTAGCGAACGAGTCATTGTTATACGCCTGCCTTGGTGCATGTGACCTTCCACTAGCGCGAGGCCGCGAGCTTCCATCGTGCCACGTACATTAATTTTTGACGACCCCTTGAATTGTTGGTTATGTAAATACTACTATAACATAACGGAGGGAGTAACATTCGTGAACATTTTATATATTCATGATGAATATTTTTAAAATAAAAAACACGAAAGAAAATCAAAACAAATCAAAGACCGAAAGAAATGAGAGGCTAAAACAACCGAACAGAAAGCCCGTAAATAGAACCAGGGGAGTAGATCGGTGGCTGATGAAAATTAGGTGGAACTTATCTTACATGGTGCAAAAGCATGCAATTTAAATACCGCACCAAAAGCATCTACAGGTAGACATAGCGAATTTTGTCCCTCAAATTTTGGCTAACGGCCCCAGACGCGCCCACGGACAGTCTCCGTGTGGGCCTTAAATTTGTCCATTTTTCAACCAGAAACCCTATTTTTCAAACACCAACCACTTTGGGCCAGCGGGGTCCCGCAAACATACGCACGCCGATCATTTTGAATTTGGATGTCAGTTTCAGTGTAGACAACCCCAACTAATAGTCTGGTTTGGGCCGCCGGGGTTATTCGTACTTAAGATTTCCAGTGTAGATGACATGTGTGTTGCCCCAGCAGGGTTGGGGGTTTAGTTCCACCTTGCCGCACGGGGCGCAAGGCGACCGACTTAAATAGCCACGTCGTCCAAAAGCGATAAGAATTGGTCATCATTGCACCCTTTCTAAAGGTTATGGAATGTCATTATGAATCTTATCTGCTTATCAGCAGAGAAGATTCATAATCATTGTCCATATCCGTCACAAAGGGAGCATTGATGGCCGCCCGACTCTTTTTGCTTCAATTCATGAAGCTCCGTCGGGCCACTAGTGCTTGTCCGACGACTAAAACCTGGTCGGACAGTGTGTAAAATACATAGATGGGCAGGTGCAGTCTGGCGCAATGGTGGCCGCAGAGCTAACAGACATATTCATCATCATATTGTATGAAATGCACCTAGAGTAGAGAACATAATAGTAATCAACTAACGTGTCTATCGACTACCGAAAAAATATAGCGCTCCTTTTCCAGATTGGACAACTTAAAACTCCAGGGAGAGACTGGTTCCTAGCTCAGTTCTTTCAGTGGAATTGGCTTACCATGAAAAGGGAAATTTTCAAGGTTGTGGAAGAGTTCTTCAGAACAGGAATCATGCCACACGGAATTAATGATACGGTAATAATGCTCATCCCAAAAAATCAAAGATAATGTTCATCTGACATATTTTCGTCCCATAAGCCTCTATAGTTTGATGTACAAGATTGTGTCAAATTGCTGGATGAGATTGTCTCACCTGCTCAGAGTGCCTTCATACCAGGAAGAATTATAATAGATAATGCACTATTGGCTTTTGAGTGTCTTCATCATATGCATGCAGAAACGAAATGAGATGCTAATTTTTGTGATGAGCATTATGATTGGGTTGATTGGGGATTCTTGCAGCAAGTGATACAAAAGTTGGGCTTCGCTCACCAGTGGGTAAACTAGATTATGAATTGTATTATCTCTGTGAGATACTCCATGAAATTTAATGGAGCCAACTCGTGGGCTTCGGCAAGCTAATCCTTCTCTCCGTTACTATTCCGTTTTGTCGCTGAAGGGGTTTCCACTTTGGTTAGTCAGTGTAATTAGGTTTTTTACGGACAACTAAGGATAATCTCTTCATGTTATGTTATATAGGAAAAATTATTGGTGCTTCTTCTATGCAAACAATGAGGACATTGTGAAAGTGAAACTGGATATCACTAAGTGATATAAAACTATAGTTTCCTATTACACTTAATAAAATGGATCCTTTAACGTTACAAGTAAATATTTAAGTTGCATTTCAATGAAATATTAGGATTTATCATTTTAAAATAATTTAACACCATTTTGCTAGACAAATTACATTAGTTATTCCACATTTGATGCTTGTTCTTTAGGAAACATTGTATTTAAATATGTGTCTCTAGATATAAAAAGTGACTAAATAACATAAAGTAAAACAATATATTCTTTTGGCACAAAAATGAATCATGATGTATATATATATATATATATATATATGAATTCTTGTATATTTTGTTATCCTTTAATACTTTGGGATATAGTAGTAAATCATATTTCCTAATAAATATCTTGATATAGATGTTTGTGGAGCGTATGTTTGTTTATCTTAACTTTTAAGTGTCAACCGAAAATTCTAGATGATACGCTTGTCTATCCAATGTGTTGGAAAAAATACTATGTTTTAGAGGTACAAATACAAAAATAGTCCACTCCTGGTGTTTTAAGAGGATCTAGGAGGTAAAAACCAGAATCCATGCCATGATCAAGAACCAATTACTTCAAAGTTATAAGCAAGAATATGTGAGAGTGATCACTAGTGTTGATTAGTGGATACGGTCCCCGCCAAAAAATGTTGCATGTGTAAGAGTATTGCGTAGCATGTACAATTCAGTATATATATATATATATATATATATATATATATATATATATATATATATATATATATATATATATATATATATATATATATAGCATGAGAAATATTTATATATGTTAGGGTGTTTGTGTGTGGTCTTGTTTTCTTGAAACAATTTTAGTTTCTTGTATTTTGTTAGCGACAGATTGAGCCACATGTGTTCGTTGGAAAAATATAACAACAAGCGAGACCGTTATTTTTTATTTTTGTTTTCATAAAATTAAGTTCGGTTGTAATTAAACCTGAAACCGGTTTTTGAAGCGTAGACCTCTCCAAGTGTATGTATCATAAGAGTATCATGTAGTACCACCTAAGTAAAAGTAGCATTGCATTTAAGGATGAGAGTGACTTCTATTATCATATATAGTATTTATAGCACACTTAATTTTGTAAAGATGGTAAGAAACCAATCATGCCCACAACTTTGTATTGAAATTCTACATATGAATATACAAGTGATAATATGATACGAGTGCATGGTACTATGCAATGTACATGTAGTAACTAAAATAGTATCATGCACCTCGATGCTAGCACATGGTGCTATGAATTGTAAGCGGCCCTAGTGAAAGTTTAATTCCTGGGCTTATTCTGATCTCCTCCCGCTCCACGCTTCACAAATTCCTGGAGTAGAAACGAGCCGAACGAAATAACAGCGAGAATCTAGCTTCAAGAATCTAGGATCGACCGCAGTGCAAAATCGTGAAGCAGACTTGGCCCAGCTCCACCGATCCGGAAAGATGAAGTTGGCCGATATTACAAGTGAACTGCCACAGCCAAGTCATACGAGCCGAGCCGGTACGCTCGATCTGTTTGATCGCTCATTGTTCCCTCGCTCGTGTTCCCTCGCCGCTCCTCTACAAGGCTGATTTGGGCTGCCTCTAGTCGGCCCAACTAGTCCGAACATGCCACAACCCTCCTAGCTGGGCTGTAGTGCCGCGAGAAGCTGCAAACCGAGCCGAACAGATTTTTCATCCCTGCTTGGAGTGAGAAGCTACTCGGAGAAGCTGAATTTGTGAAGTTTTGGGAAGCTAGAGGAGATCAGAACAGGCCCTTAGTGGTGAAAAGGCCACGAAAGAATTTTATCCCTCTACTCATGTAGGCATTAATTATTATTTTTGAGACAAATGTAGGTATGAATTGATCGAATGGAACACCACATCATATTAATATATATCCATGGGCCACCCTGGGATTTAGCCACCAACCCATCCCATTAGTCTCGGTTCACTCACGAACCGGGACCCATGGGGGCATAGGTCCCGGTTCATGAGGCTAGGGGGCCGGCCGGGCCTCGTGGGGCATTGGTCCCGGTTCGTCTGGCCCCTTTGGTCCCGGATCCAGAAATGAACCGGGACCAATGGGTCTCGCTCCTGGCCCACAACCATTGGTCCCGTTTCGTGGCTGCAACCGGGACCAAAGGGTGTCCTTTAGTCCCGGTTCTAGCCATGAACCGGGACCAATGAGATGCCTATATATACCCCCTCACGCACGAGTAGAGCACTCCACTGCTCTATTTTTCTGGCCGGCCGTTGGAGAGTTGTGTGGTGCTATAGCTCACCTCCTATACACATGAGATGTTTGATGAAATGCCCGAGCCACACTTAAGCTTTCTCCTCTCGAAGCTCCTTGTCCAAGCTTAGTACGTCCATTTTGCATCATGCTTTTATATCGATATTTATTGCATTATGGGCTGTTATTACACGTTATGTCACAATACTTATGGCTATTCTCTCTTATTTTACAAGGTTTATCATGAAGAGGGAGAATGCCGGCAGATGGGATTCTGGCTGGAAAAGGATCAAATATTGGAAACCTATTATGCACAACTCCGAAAGTCCTGAAACTCCACGAAAGTCATTTTTTGAATTTATAAGAATTATTGGGCAAAGAAAGTACCAGAGGGGGCCCACACCCTGGCCATGAGGGTGGGGGGCGCCCCCCCTACTCGCGCCCTCTGTCTCATGGGCCCCCTGGTGGCCCTCCGGTGCCCATCTTCTGCTATATGGAGTCTTTTACCATGGAAAAAATCATAAACAAGCTTACGGGATGCAACTCCGCCGCCACGAGGCGGAAC